TTTTATCGCAGCAACAAAAGCGCACCATAAAATTTCAATTGTATACAAACCTGATGCGTTGAATATGACCATCAGGTTTTGAAATGATTTCTGGTAAAGAGTTTTTACGATTGACTTGAGTTAAGGCTATATCATCAGTAGGTAAAGAATCTGTAACGGGAGGGTTGTGTACTGTAGCTTGTGTAGTCACACCATTCGTTTGTTGATGATTACTTCTAGAAGATCCTCGACGTCGATCACGGAATAGGGAGGGTGAATTTAAATATCCCGAAGAACCTACACCTTAAAGGGATTGTAAAAAGGCTTTCTAAAATTTGTTATGTGTATCAGGAACACCATTCCAATTTTTAATCAGAAGTCTGTGCAATTCCACTAAAACTATGTGGTTTATGATGTCACTAATCGCAAAGGGCTTATATGATAAAGAAAATTTCACGATTAGTGACGTCATCAAACACTTAGTGTAAATGGATTTTATGAATGAAATTGGAATGGTATAAATTGATGCTAATAGTGTCCCCAATGTTCTTTAAAAATCTAGAAAATTTCCTTTCAATCCCTTTAAAATAAAAACTGTATATATGTTTATTATTGATTTAAATAAGATAAAGCTATATATTAAATATGGTGTTAAAAACTGATAGAATTCAGTTAAACCTATTCCCTTTTCAGAACGCAAAAATAAAACTTTATTTTCATAATTTAGTAAAACAATATTTATGATATTGACAATAAAAAAATTTTAGTGAACCACCGAGTTTTGGGGTTCTATAATATTTTCAAATAAATTTTTGATTGACTCAACTCACCTTTAAAACTGTATGTTTTCTCAAATTTAGGAGAATAACTGACAGTACTTGAACATTGACTACATCGAGAACACGGCCGAGATCGGTCCTAAAACATACAAACAAAATATCAACATTTTACAAGATCTTACAAAGATAATAACCGAGTTTCTCGAGAATCTTATTCATATAAATAACTTTTATAAGGATAACAACTTAGGTTCTCGAGAATACTTTAACCAAATCTCTTGGTATTAATTTCACAAAGATAACAATATGGGTTCAAGGTGTTCTTTGACCAAACCTCTTGGCATCACAAGAATAACAATATGGGTTCTCAAGGATACTATCTAACAGCTGGTCTTTGATAGTAAAGGTATCTCAGGGATTCTGTCAAAGTTTGAATACAGTACCTGTACATGTGTAGCTTGGTCATGTAATAATGATTTATCAGTATAAGAACTAGTTGAATACAGTACCTGTACATGTGTAGCTTGGTCATGTAATAATGATTTATCAGTATAAGAACTAGTTGAACACAGTACCTGTACATGTGTAGCTTGGTCATGTAATAATGATTTATCAGTATAAGAACTAGTTGAATACAGTACCTGTACATGTGTAGCTTGGTCATGTAATAATGATTTATCAGTATAGGAACTAGTTGAATACAGTACCTGTACATGTGTAGCTTGGTCATGTAATAATGATTTATCAGTATAGGAACTAGTTGAATACAGTACCTGTACATGTGTAGCTTGGTCATGTAATAATGATTTATCAGTATAAGAACTAGTTGAATACAGTACCTGTACATGTGTAGCTTGGTCATGTAATAATGATTTATCTATATAGGAACTAGTTGAATACAGTACCTGTACATGTGTAGCTTGGTCATGTAATAATGATTTATCAGTATAGTAACTAGTTGAATACAGTACCTGTACATGTGTAGCTTGGTCATGTAATAATGATTTATCAGTATAAGAACTAGTTGAATACAGTACCTGTACATGTGTAGCTTGGTCATGTAATAATGATTTATCAGTATAGTAACTAGTTGAATACAGTACCTGTACATGTGTAGCTTGGTCATGTAATAATGATTTATCAGTATAGGAACTAGTTGAATACAGTACCTGTACATGTGTAGCTTGGTCATGTAATAATGATTTATCAGTATAAGAACTAGTTGAATACAGTACCTGTACATGTGTAGCTTGGTCATGTAATAATGATTTATCAGTATAAGAACTAGTTGAAGGCGGGGCAGGACTGGTGGAATGACTCGTTCGTAGACTAATCGACGTCGAGGACCTCAAAGCTTCGTTTTCTCTCTTCAACAGATAAATCTTCTTCTCAAGACTGAAGTAGAAGAACATGTACTGTATAATTGCGACTATTATGCGCACCAATTCTTACTATAAAGTTCTTACAATCTGTTATTGTCCTATAACAAAACACAAGACAATATTATGGAATATAACACACTTCTTTAATAAGGTTGGGCACATAACGTCTACATCTGATGACGACACGTGTATATTGTGTTGAAACGTTATTTTATAATATTTTTATAATATTGCCTTGTGTTTTGTTATGTGCTCCTCACTTCTATATGTCGTTCTCTTATATTATTGTCCTACAGATCATTTCTATTCTTTAGATAAAAAGACCAGTTGATTATTTCTAACAATCCAGTTGTAATAGTTGACAAGTCATACTTTATACTAGTCCCGCAATTTCCCACTCTGCCATGAGGGGGATAACGCACTTTCATAACAGTC